GTGAGATACCAGTTGTTTGTAAAATCCCTATAGACTTCTGTGAAGGAACATATTGCATACAAGTATGGTGATGGATAATATGTTCCTTACATCCCTCTAGACAATAAAAAAAAAAAGAAAGAAAAAGGATCTGGGATTTTTTTACTGGTGCTGTCTTTCATGGAATGTAACAAATATAAGAGGCTCTTAAAACCAAATATTTATTACATATATTTCTTATCACAGTACATTGTTAAAAACCAAGAATATAAAGATTTGAGTGATTACAATTTGAATGTGATTAGAACATACGGATATTGAAAACACCTCTCATGTTCCTCGCAAACACAATAACACATATTAACATGAATGTATCTGTAAATAATTATCTTTATGTCCATGCACCAGAATGTTGCTCAACCATTTTGGTGACATGTAAAGTCGCAGGTCAGCTCCTGTATTCCCCAGTGGAGAACATTCAGCGAGTGGCAGCCGGAGTGCTCTGTGAGCTTGCTCAGGATAAAGAAGCAGCCGACACCATTGATGCTGAGGGTGCACCTGCTCCTCTGATGGAACTCCTGCATTCCCATAATGAGGGCACAGCTTTTCTATTTTCAGAGCCCTGCCTGTGATCCAGTTACCAACCCACCAGAGGGAAGCACCTGTATTTAGGAATCTTCACCCACCCAGCTCTAAAGGGGTACTCTGGCTCACTGGATCTATTCATATATCTATACGTACCTGAAGGAGAACCCCGAGTTCCAGTCTGGACCCTGACCAGTGAAGTGGATCTGCATGATTTATACACTGCGTAAATTAATTACGCTTCTGGTTAGTGCGCATTTTTTACTGTAGCACAGAGAGTACCGTCACCAGACTGGAAGTTATTGATCAAGATATACTTGATATCAGAACTGTCATAGATTGTTTTTCCATCATTTGGGATTTATATAACATTTTATATTTATCTTGAATAATTTTTTACTATATCAGATTGGTATATATTGATTAGCACTGTGCATATATATTTTTATGTATAGCATACAAATGTTTTAATATTATTACCTTATAGTCAAAATCAGTATTTTGGTCAGTTATGTGAGGCTGGGCTTTCCTTTGCTACATATTTATTATTTCCTTTGAGCCATATATATGGAAAAATCCGAAATTATTATACAGATTACCATACTCATACAGTAAGCTAGTGCATGCCCAGAAATGTATTACACTTTATGAAAAGGATAACTAAAGTATAATGGTCACAAATATCCTTTTCATTCCATGCCTGAAGATCTAGAGCACAGGTGTCAAACTGGCGGCCCTCCAGCTGTTGCCAAAGTCCCATGAGGCATTTCAAGATTGACAGTTACAAACATGACTCCCAAAGGCAGAGGCATAATGGGACTTGTAGTTTCACAACAGCTGGAGGGTCCCCATTTGACACCCCTGATGTAGAGACTAAAGGTTTGTGACTCTAGTATTTACCATTGTAGTGATTACTAAAGTGACAGATAGTGACAGTGTGAATACCATCCAGTGAACACAGCACTATTCTGGAAAAGGAATCTGACATCTGAAACAGGTCACAGGGTTAATACAGTCATTTGGGCTGCACCCACCTTTGTTTTCCATGTGAAAGCATTTCAATATATACAATTGTTTGATGTAGATTAAAAGTCATGTATTGTCACAACAAATAAACAGTCATAAACATTCTGTTATTTTAAAAAAAGTTGTTTGTGCAATACATGATCAATACATGTCTAAGGGGGTTATTTACTAAAGCTGGAGAGTGCACAATCTGGTTCAACTCTGATTGGAAACCAATCATCTTCCAGCTTTTATTGCCAAAGCTTAATTGAACAATCTGAAGTTAGAAGCTAATTGGCTACTATGCACAGCTGCAGCAGATTCTGAGTGCCCCAGTGTTAGCAAATCTCCCCGTGTGTGTTTTTCTATAACGTTCAAACAGTTCTTGAAATACAGTTTGCAACTGGAAAATCAGCAATGGATGAAAAAAAACTAACTGTGCAGAGTGGAAACGTTTGACTTCTCTGAGTGGGCCAGAGTCCAGAGATAGCTGTGTGCTGCTTTGTCAAACTAATCTACAGGTAGGTATAAAAGACACATAACGCAGTATGCATCCAATATTACATGCCTAAATATTTTTTTTAACACAAGCAGTTTGACTACCTGAATTTGACTTTATATTCACCTCTTGTAGTTCCTGTATAGCAGAGCTCAGACTGGGGGTGGGATAAGCACACAAGGAACCACTCAGTTGTACTGTAGTGTGAAGAGCATGCTCACAGGAGGAGAGAGAAAAGTGACAGTGACATATGTTTATCAATCTGCTGCTTCTCCTTTCACTGTCCAGTCACAGGCTAGAGAAAGGAGAAGACTTGTAAGTGTTACTAAATGGCAGCAGAGACAATCAGGACTCCTCCCATAGCTGTGCTGTAGGGAAAAGCTGTGTAACTCTCAAATCTGGATGGATAGAAATATAAATCTTTTTGCAGCTAAAACAGATCTTTATATGTATTTCCCCCATGCATTAAAACATTTGTTCATTACATGAAAGTAAGGTTAATAATATACAGTATCTCAAAGAAGTGGGTACACCCCTCACATTTTTGTAAATATTTTATTCTATCTTTTCATGTGACAACACTGAAGAAATGACATTTTGCTACAATGTAAAGTAGTGAGTGTACAGCTTGTATATAAAGTGTAAATTTGCTGTCCCCTCAAAATAAATCAACACACAGCCATTAATGTCTAAACCGCTGGCAACAAAAGTGAGTACACCCTAAGTGAAAATGTCCAAATTGGGCCCAAAGTGTCAATATTTTCTGTGGCCACCATTATTTTCCAGCACTGCCTTAACCCTCTTGGGAATAGAGTTCACCAGAGCTTCACAGGTCGCACTGGAGTCCTCTTTCACTCCTCCATGACGACACCACAGAGCTGGTGGATGTTAGAGACCTTGCGCTCCTCCACCTTCCATTTGAGGATGCCCCACAGATGCTCAATAGGGTTTAGGTCTGGAGACATGCTTGGCCAGTCCATCACCTTTACTCTCAACTTCTTTAGCAAGGCAGTGGTCATCTTGGAGGTGTGTTTGGGGTTGTTATCATGTTGGAATACTGCCCTGTGGCCCAGTCTCCGATGGGAGGGGATCATGCTCTGCTTTAGTATGTCACAGTACATGTTGGCATTCATGGTTCCCTCAATGAACTGTAGCTCCCCAGTGCCGGCAGCACTCATGCAGCCCCAGACCATGACACTCCCACCACCATGCTTAATGTAGGTAAGACACACTTGTCTCTGTACTCCTCACCTGGTTGTCGCCACACATGCTTGACACCATCTGAACCAAATAAGTTTATCTTGGTCTCATCAGACCACAGGACATGGTTCCAGCAATCCATGTCCTTAGTCTGCTTGTCTTCTGCAAACTGTTTGTGGACTTTCTTGTGTATCATCTTTAGAAGAAGCTTCCTTCTGGGACGACAGCCATGCAGTGTGCGGCGTATGGTCTGAGCACTGACAGGCTGACCCTCCCATCCCTTCAACCTCTGCAGCAATGCCACAGGTGTATAAAAAAAAGAGCACCTAGGCATGAAGACTGCTTCTACAAAGATTTGTGAAAGAATGGGTCGCTCTCAGGAGCTCAGTGAATTCAGTGGTTCTGTCATAGGTTTCCACCTGTGCAATAAGTCTGTCCGTCAAATTTCCTTGCTACTAAATATTCCACGGTCAACTGCTAGTGGTATTATAACACAGTGTAAGCAACTAGGAACATCAGCAACTCAGCCATGAAGTGGTAGGCCATGTAAAATGACAGAGTGGGGTCAGCGCATGTGGAAGTGCACAGTGCGCAAAAGTCACCAACTGTCTGAAGAGTCAATAGCTAAAGACCTCCAAGCTTTGTGTGGTCTTCAGATTAGCACAACAGTGCTTAGAGAGCTTCATGGAATGGGTTTCCATGGCCGAGCAGTTGCATCCAAGCCTTACATCACCAAGTGCAATGCAAAGCGTTGGATGCAGTGGGGTAAAGCATGACGCCACTGGACTCTAGAGCAGTTCTCTGGAGTAACAAATCACGCTTCTCTGTCTGGCAATAAGATGGACGTGTCTAGGTTTGGTGGTTGCCAGGAGAATGGTACTTTCCTGACTGCATTGTGCCAAGTGTGAAGTTCGGTGGAGAGGAGGATTATGGTGTGGGGTTGTTTTTTCAATGGTTGGGGTTGGCCCCTTCATTCCAGTGAAGGGAACTCTTAAGGCATCAGCATACCAAGACATTTTGGATAATTTCATGTTCCCAACTTTGTGGGAACAGTTTGGGGGTGGCCCCTTCCTGTTCCAACATGACTGTGCACCAGTGCACAAAGCAAGGTCCATAAAGACATGGATGAGCGAGTTTGGAGTGGAGGAACTTGATTGGCCTGCACGGAGTCCTGACCTCAACCAGAAAGAACACCTTTGGGATGAAATAAAGTGGAGACTGCGAGCCAGGCCTTCTTGTCCGACATCAGTGCCTAACCTCACAAATGCGCTTCTGGAAGAATGGTCAAACATTCCCATAGACACATTCCTATCCTTGTGGACAGCCTTCCCAGATGACGGGTGGACCAACTCAATATTGAACCCTATGGACTAAGACGCCATTAAAATTCATGTGCATGTAAAGGAAGGCGTCCCAGTACTTTTGGCAATATAGTGTATGTACAGTATATGTATGTATATTGTGGGAACTCGCTTCAAATGGTAGAGCTCTTCTTGTTAAAGCACACAGCAACTCGCTTCTTTAAGGGCTTTCTTGCCCATTTTTATTTAAAAGAACAAAGTTCCATAAAGAAAAATGCTTCCCACGCAGGGGTATCCAACATCAAGCAAACTAACAGTATTCAGCCTCCTGGCTTGTACACAGTTCAATGTCTGTCTCCTGCAGACTCTTCCCAAATTATGACCACTAGCACACAGCTAGTCTGGCTTCCACCTGCCTCCAAGGCAGAGACCTCCCGTCTGCCAGGCTGGAGCCCTCCTGACTCCTGTCTGCCGAGGTGGAGCCCTCCTGACTCCGTCTGCCGGGGTGGAGCCCTCCTGACTCCGTCTGCCGGGGTGGAGCCCTCCTGACTCCGTCTGCCGGGGTGGAGCCCAGAACCATGGTTAGGACTCTATAAAAAGGCCTGCACACACCTGTGCAATCATGGTTGTGCTGGGGGTTCTCAAAACACGGATTTCATCCCTCCCAGATCTCTTTGAAATCTCCAGGCTCCAGATCCCAAAACAAACTTAATGAATAAATGAGGAAACCGAAAAGTCAGTTTCCTCTGCAATACATCAACTCTCAGGAGCCCCTCAACCTGCCTGGTTGAGAATCCAGGGTTTTCAGCCTTATTTTGACTGTGGCAGGACACAGCACTGCCACAATATATATATATATATACATACATACATATGTACATACATACACAAACACACCTGTATACAATTTGTCATTTTCAACAAATCACCTGTTATAACACCTGAAGATGTAGCTTTAGAACACAGAAAACTAAATTATCTCATAAATATTTCTAGTTGGCCACTAAAAGGTACCACAGCCTTTTTTTCTCTAGCTTATTTTTTTCTATGATTTTTTTTTTTCTCTCCTTGTAATTCTTGAAATTTTATCACCATTTAATTTTCTTGTACCCTATACCCCTGTTAACCGCTTTCCTGCTGCCCTATAGTAGAACTACTACTTATATATATGTATATATAAGTGATTTCCATTTCCGGGTAGGGGGCGCGCACAAATTTGATTTTTAAATTTTTTTTACTGGATATGTTTTTAAGCAAAAAGTAAAAAAAAAGTTTTGTTTTTTTTTTTTTCAAAATTGTCAGTCTTTTTTTGTTTATAGCACAAAAAATAAAAACTGCACAGGTGATCAAATACCACCAAAAGAAAGCTCTATTTGTTGGGGAAAAAAGGACATAAATTGCATTTATGTACAGTGTTGCATGACCGCGTAATGCTGTATCGCAAAAAATTGCCTGGTTAGGAAGGGGGGTAAATCCCTCTGGAGGGCAAGTGGTTAAAGTATAAACTACTCACCTTGTAAAACAACCCATTCCATTTAAAATAGAAATGAAAGGCAAAGCATTTGTGTATAGATTTTTTTCCCCCCTGTTTTTAAATGATTACATACCCTCTGAGCTCCTTATGCAGTTGAGAACAGCTGGGGGAAGAAAAAGAGAAGCACACTGAACTTCCCAGTGAAAGGCTGTGCGGGGAGGGGGTGGGGGGGTGTCGGCAGAAGTCTGATCATTGGAGGAAAACAGACTGAGTTCCCAGCACAACTAGAGCAGTGTGTTCTCCTACTTAGTGTAGTAAATGTTTAATAGAAAAGGACTGGCAGGAACACCAGGGATTGCACACAAAGGGAGCAATACAAAGAAAACAGGATACTGGGCAACACAGTGTCTAAATGGTTAGCACTTCTACCTGGCAGTACTAGAGTCGTTGGTTCAAATCCCAACCACAGCACCACCTGCCTGGAGTTTGCATGTTCTCCCTGTTTGCCTGCGTGGGTTTCCTCTGAGTACTCTGGTTTCCTCCCACACTCCAAAGACATGTTGGTAGGTGAATTGGCTCCTGTCTAAATTGGCCCTAGTATGTGTATGTATGAATGTGAGTTAGGGACCTTAGATTGTAACCCCCTTGAGGGTTAGGGACTGATGTGAATGTACAATATATGTATGTAAAGCGCTGCATAAATTGACAGTGCTATAGAAGTACCTATAATAAATAGGAAACTTTTCATACATCATACTGTACATGGTACAGCAGTCACATATCAGGAATATGAAATGTTGGGCTTACATACTCCTTGATACCTCATTCTGTGTTTTGTAACCTTGTATTTATTCTGTTTTCATGTCTATGAAATTACCATGTGACTATTGCATTCAATACAACATACAGATTTGATAAAGTGCTAATACCTGGGAACATTGTGGGTTGCAATGTGCAAAGCAATAGTGAAAAATAGTGAGGGAGAAACCAAATTTCTGCCAGAAAAATGTACTACTAAATTAGAAAAAAAAATTATATTTTAAAAATATTCTTTTGTTCAAGATTTGGAGAAAAAAAAATCACACAACACTAAACAACAGGCCATCCCTAATATACTGTATGAGACATATATACACATATATATATATAATATATATATATATATATATATATATATATATAAAAAATTATAGCATGACACAGCATTGTGATAAATGTAAGATTTCACATGCTGGGCTGGTTACATAAACAGGTTCATTTATCTTGGCCTAAAGCAATCTGTTTTAGTACACAACATGCTTGTTAAGTACACAATACCTTAAAGGAATCCACATAAATAAATAAGAAGCAAAGGCCAAATTAAGTAATTTTTTCCCGAAATAGAAATCAAATGATTAAAAAAGCAGTTGTACAGGGGATAGATCTATTCTAGCTGTGTAATTACTCTGGATCATATAGCGACAGTTTATAATTTTTAAAATGTACATTTTATTTTGCATCCATCAGTTTCTATAGACATAGCACGATAATACAGTTATATGTATGGAGGATGTACACATTACATACAGCGAGGTTGGATTTCTTTAGGCATATATATTACACCGGCGGTTTCCTCCAGCAAGAGATTGCTGTGACATTCACTCTAGGGATGTGCAATTACACACCCACCAAGAGGAGAGAAGCAACAGCAAAGAAAGGAAGCTATTTGGCTTAATTCAGTGCTATGACAATAGAACAAACAGCAGCATGCATCATCCAACCTTTCCCAACAGGCAACATTTTTTGTTTTCGGCTGCACCTGCTAATTACTTTAAACAATGTCACATACAGGTGACCACCATGTTAATTGCGATCTTAAATTGACACATCCAGATGTCATGATAAAATCAGCAGATGTTGGGCCGTGGAAGCATCATGTACGCAGGATGCAGTAATATGGATGCTTGGTGACATCTGCGTGGGCAAATGTAGGCATACACATTACGAGGCTCAATAAATTGCTGGATCCATTTTATTTGACTGTCACACACATACACAAACACGCACACAGCTTGGTACTTACTTCATTTGAGCTTTTGTGCTTGAAGGTGAACTGACACTGCTGGCTGCAGGAGGTGATGTCTCCCAGCTGGGCATCAAAGGGATCCCCTGCACTGACTGCAGACACAATTACGAGCAGCAATAAGAGGAGGCTGTAGTCACAGCGACAGTGTTCTGGGGCTCCCATCCTGCAGCACTTCATACAGGGATCCAGGGATTGATGGCACAGCCTGTGAAACACAGTGAGGAGCAACTGCCGTGCAATGTCAGTGCTATTCTGACGTCATGTGTTTAGTGCAAAGGACTCTGGGAGAGGGAAGGAGGGGAATGCTGAGTGCAGTGACAGTGAGGATGGCTGGTGCACTCTGCTACAGATGCAGACTGCCATTTCTTTTACATCCTATAGCAGTGCACAGAAAGGGTTGATTTTACTTTGACATCTCCCAAAGAACACAATTATCACAATTAGTAGTTGCTGTGAGCTCTACACTTTTCTTTTCAGATGTGTTTTCTCAGTCCTACTTTGCATCTGGGACTGGAGCAGCAGCTGCATTGTGCTTCATTAGAGGCTTTGGCAGGTGGCTCCCCGAGTTCTTTCTATGTTATAAGGTGCCACCAGCCTGTAGAGGCTTTGGCTGGCCATACATTATACAATTTTCTTGAGATTTTTGGTTTAGATTTACCAAAAACCATATAATAGGAGGTCAAACCTAACAACACTTTCAATTGTATCCAATTAGATAGGCCCTTGCACTATATAGTTGAAAGGTAAATCTAAAGGAAATTGGACAGAAATTTGTATATTGTATGGCCAGCCATAGTCATTTTTTTTTCTTGTTTAATATTTTTTTCATTTAAAGTTGTACAGGATACAATATAAACATAACTAGTTCCAAACTTCATAACGTTACTTTCATGAGAAAAAAAACATAGTAAATAGAAAAAAAAATATATCATACACAATTTCTACACATGGTATATTGTAATTGAATGTTATTAAAAGTTATCTTTCTTTTTCTGCAGCACTGTAATTTTCTGTAAAATTCAATGCAATCTGGCCAGGGGCGTCCCTAGGGTTGGTGTCACCCGGTGCAGTAACACTTGGTGTCATCCCTCTGGCGATCCCCGTAGGATGGATCGGATCTGTGGATTGAGCATAATGGATTGGAGTCCAATCCATTATGCTCCTCAATCCGCAGATCTGATCCATCGTCGGGTTGCAACCTATATGGGGTTAACTGATCTTTCAACACCGGTCCGGTCTGCACATGCTCGAGAAGTGATGTCAGATGGAGAAGGTTCCTGTTATCGCGGCCGCATTTCCTGGTTACAGACCTTGCACAGCCTTACCTAGATCAGTTAACCCCCGTATGGTTTGCAAGCTGACGATCCCGGGCACGATGGATCGGAATCTGCGGATTGGGGAGCATAATGGATAGGACTCCGATCCATTATGCTCAATCCACAGATCCGGTCCATCTTGTGGGGATCATCGGCTTGCAACCTATATGTGGTTAACTAATCTTTCAGCAACGGTCCGGTCTGCACAAGCTCGACAAGTGATGTCAATTGGAGGAGGTTTTTGCTATCAAGGCCGCATTTCCTGGTTACTGACAAGTCCCGGATCTTGCACAACCTTACCTAGATCAGTTAACCCCATATGGGTTGCAAGCCGACGATCCCAGCAAGATAGATTGGATCTGCAGATTGGGGAGCATAATGGATCAGACTCCGATGCATTATGCTCAATCCGCAGATCCGATCCATCTTGTGGGAATTGTTGGCTTGCTTTAAAACTTTTCTTTTCGTGGAGCTCGTGGAGAGGGTCCGGTGTCACCCCGTGCGATAGGTGTCACCCAGTGCGGGGCGCACCCCCTGCATCCGGCTAGGGATGCCACTGAATCTGGTATTGGCACAAAGGGTGAACAGAGTACCCCCAAAAATGTAATTTCCCACTTGTGTAATTGGCTGGTTTTTCCAAGAACTCAAAAAATATAGCACTTTCAACCCAGGTTCACACTGATGCGGTGCGGAATTCACACCAGTTTCTGTGCAATTTCCACACCGCATCGTGATCGCACCCCGTTTATGCGAACTACTGCGGGTGTGTATATTAAGTTAATGACACCCCGAAATCGGTTTTCAAAACGCGGTGCGATCTGCAGAAGCAGATTGAATGGGTAATCACACCCGATCTGATTCTGGTAAAGACAAAAAAAAGGGTCCTGCGCTTTTTTGGTGTGGATGCGGTGCGATCTGAGCCATACAAAATGTATGGCTCAAATTTATCTGCACAGAAATCGCATGTGATTTGCACAAAAATGCAGT